TATCATGTATAAAGAATAAAATGTGCCGAAGGAAATATTACAATACTACCATTTCCTTTTCAGTATCTGCAATTTGGACCAAAAACGCAAAGTAGAAGACATTCGCCATATCACATGATATTTAATGCCGTCATAGAACTGGTATACAAAGTTTTTATTCAATTTATTCTTTTGTACACTGGCAGATTTTATAAATAAACCCATTCAAGAAGTTTTGTTATAACGATATGTATTACTTAACGCTTATTTTCTTACCATGTGCAAATATGTTACGTCGTAAACTCTTACTTTTTGTTTGTGATAGAGTAAGTAAATGAGATATTCAGGGCGTCCATGGCCGAGTGGCTAAAATCCCTGATTTTTATACACATGCTTCTTACCGCTATGGATTCCAGTCCCACCAGCGCCATTGAATTCATTCATCAAACTACCTTACGAAACGTCGATGCTTTAGCCCAGGTGTCGTTACATTGACGGTGTGAATTGAAATGTAGCATCTAAGGTTGTTTTATGTAAATAATATTTTTTACTCCTCTTGCCTTCACTTTAAAAAGTACAAATATCTTTGACTGTTTGATTTTAAATATTCGTTTTTCTTTAACGGCCCATTATGCCTCTGAAATGCTATCATTTTTATTTTTAAAAAAAAACCTGTTTATTTTTTGTATCTTGTTACAGTTTCCGAAAACATACACATTTGCTAGATACTCAAAATATCTTTTGCATCTTTGGTTCTGTTGGCAATAGGTATACATGTACCTTTAGTGAATAAATATTTTGTATGGAAGTCAAAATACTACTTACCATATACATTTTGCTACCTTTACGACACATCACTTAATGTTCAGCGCTACCTTTTTCAGTTGTAATAAAAAACTATCATGAGTTTTATCCATTATTAAAACATTATCAAAAACATATTAGACATTTCTGAAGAATAAAACAATATGGATTTCTGAGGCAAAATGTGCCTTTAATCATAACTTGAATCACTGTATCATTGTTGTTTTTTTTGTTTTTGTTTTTTTTTGTACGAAGTTATTTTGTTCTTGCGAATTCTTCAATATATTTTCATAAATTAAGTAACATAGTGACTAAATGTAACAAATACTGCCATATAAAAACATCAGCATTCAGTGAATAAACATCACCATACCAAATAACAAGCATATATTTGTTCATCTTATTTCTAATTACAGTAAAATGAGGGCCAAGACACATCTGACACTGCAAAGGTCAAAGAACTACTATCGCAAAAGAAAAATAACACTGAGCCGTGTGATATCAAATCCCATCAAAAGTTCATTTGATATATTTTAAAAACAACCAATTAAGCATTCGTCCTATAGACAAAAAGTGAAATATTTGATCTTGAATAACTGAAATAAGTATTTTCTATCTCTTTACATATGAACTTAAACTCTCTTTTAATTTAAACTGTGCGTGAAACTTACTATTTTGTTTTCGTGCGACTTACTATCCAGACATTGTTCGTTTTACTGACAATACACTTGCAAAGAACATTTGTAGGCTACAGACCTTCAAAAATGTATTTTACATGGACCTCTACGATAACAGATGTCAATAAAATGATTGATTTGGTGTCTTAGTACAGAAAGTAAGCTTATTTTCATTTATTTTGGTACCAAATTATATCGCTTCTTGCGAATTACTATCGCTGAATGTGCAATTTTCAAACATCAAAAACCACAAAACGTATGATAATGCACTTTGTATTGTCATTTGAAGAAAATGATCGCGCGTATGATACGCTAGGTTTTGTTTTGATTTAAGAAACCTTTTCACCTTAATTTAACATAATAAGGTACTTACCGGGGCTCAGTAGTCGCAATTTTCTCATGGGTATTACTATACAAAGTCACGTAATTCCCCCCTGTTATTATTTAGAAATTCAATAATTCAGAAAAAAAGCGCCGTACGTTATCATTGATATTTTGCGCGCCATACGTTATCATTTCCAGTAAATGCCCCGATATTAATATTTTCAGCGGTTATTCTAGACAGAATGGGCATGAATGCTTAGATGACGACATATTACAACTTTTTACAGTCAGTGGTTTCATTAGATATACATATATGTAAACGAAACAGTGAATTTTATAAAAGAAGCCGTACGTTTCCACGATCAAACCGGTGGAAAATTCTATCGCTTCGAATCTGGTGACGCGCATTTCAGATGAAGTACCGGACGAAACATCATAAAATAAAATCCTGTGTGCCAGTAAAATTGTGGAGAAGGTTATTATTTGTACCTTTACATTAGAACATCACGAATTTCAGAGAAAAAAAGGGAAAAAGCTACAGTTTGGCTGCATCCGCCATCTTGTTTGTTTGGGTAACAAACGGCGTGATTCTCCCCCGTGATATTTGTTCCTCCTATAACATAGTTTGTCCGAGAACTAGACTCGAGAGTTATTGTCTTAAAATATATGTATTAGAATTTTAGAATGATAAAATTATAGTACATATTATATGAAATGATCAAACTCCATGCGTATATATGGGACTGTTTGTCCACATGCTGAAAGTTCATAAGTTACATATAACACGATATAAAATTCTAAACTTAACTCAAAAATCAGTTCTATGACAGTTTTTATTTCCACTGTTCTTTTATAAATGTTACACACCAATATTTTATAGATGAAATTTGTTCATGCATCCATTTTACTTCCCGTAGAATGGGACATACATGGATTCCACGTGACATGTCGTTATTCGGACGGAACCTTCGCCCTATTAACATGCGTTTCGAAACAGATGAAACTTACAACAAGCCCTTCTTGACCTACAACTCTGGGGACCCTAATGGCATGGAGGGCTTCCCAGCAGGCACACCAACGTCGGAACAACGTTGAATTATGGTCAGATTTCAACGTTGAAATAACGTTGGATTTATATTCGGATTTGAAAGTTTAAACAATGTTGAAATTTCAACGTTGATACAACGTTGCAGCTTCAACGTTGGCACAGCGTTGAAGTTTCAATGTCATTTCAACGTTGAAAACCCACCATACTTTAATTTTAAATTATAAAGCAGAGTAACAGAGTTCAACAAAAAAATCAAGACAATATTAAATACTTCAGATATTTTATTTAAAAAGTACAGTTCATAGGCAGCTAAAATTCAAACGATTTAAGAAGTCATTTTAGTTCAACAATTAAGCTACAATCTGTTCCAATCTACTTCTTTTTCTAGATCATTCTGGGTAAAATAAGTTTTAAAAAGGCAAGACTTTTAACATCGGCATCAATAAGCGTAAGGCCTACCAATTAGGTCTCGAAAACGTGTCAAATCAACTCAATCACGTGTTTACATCTTTCATTTCTTTCATAGAGTAAATCAAAGTAGAATTTGAAGAATAAGTAATTATATATTGAAAAATAATCTGCAAACTAAAGTAAAACATTATAATTGGCATAATGGCTATCAGGGCTGGCTATCAGGGCAGAACTCGCCTGAAACTGATCGTATTCGCCAGAAGTCGCCTTTTTATTGACCGGCCCAACAATATCGCTTTCGACCTCGAATATCTAGCGTGGACGGGATCACGGACTGCAACCGTATGTGGCATTCCATTCAAACTGTGGCCTGTCTGAAGTGACTGACTGTGCTGATTTGGTTGACCATGATGCTGATACCATCTCTAAATTTCAAACTGCAGGATATCAGTAAGTACTGTATCTGAGACTTTTATTTTTCTACTTTTCATAAGGCTAAGTTAAACCACAAGCTGAACTAAAAATTCAGCATTCAGCATTTTACTTTCTTAACCAAAAATACCCTGACTTGCCCATCTTCAAATTTTGGAACTGTCCATTATCATACTTCGAGATACCAAGATGTTCAGTCAACCAATGTACAGCTTTGTCAGACAAACGGATGTTTGTTTTGTTGAGTTTTAAGTCACACCGACGCTTTAAAGGGCATGTTGTAACTTTCCAACTTTAGGGTGAGTGGAGGAAGACCTCAGGTGCCCCCCGGTGCAATATTTGATTCACAAGTATGCGAATGGACTTTTAATGCAAATATTGTCAGCTATAGAAAATCAGAATCGGCGGCGCATTGTTAATCAAATTTTCTCAACAATATACATGTACTGTATTGAAATGCATATGATAGGCTGATTGTATGTCCAAATTAAGAGTATAAAGAAAATATCAGTATTTAAATCGGATCTGTTGGAATTTTCTACATCTAAAACTAATAAGTATATTATAACAATGTTTAGATCACCGCAAGACATGGATTTGTTTACCGGAGTACTTACTGAGCTCCCTGTGACAGCAGGTACAGGTGGTCCCACCTTGGAATGTATCCTCGGTGAGCAGTTCATGCGTCTGAAGTTTGGGGACCGGTTCTGGTACCAGGGATCTGATGTAGGCCTTAATGGAGGTAAGAACGCTATGTTTATACATTAATACCTACGGATCACGTAAGCCCCTTTAATTCAAGAGCACAGCTCAGCCATTGCATCGTTTTTTTTACAGGCTGTGTTTATTTTAAAAGGAACCGCTAATTACTTATATGCATGACAGAGCGGCTAACCTGCACCGATTTGGAATCGATCCCGTGTCGCCTAATTCAGTATATCACTGTACATATTAACCTGGTAGAAAGAATATCCTTCAATGAACATGCTCATTCAGACCGGCTGTACATCAGAGCATTTTGTGTTGTTTTTTTAGTTCATCTTAAAAAGTGAAATAACTTTGCCAGCTTTGGATTTGGAACAGTCCATTCTAAGTTTCATGGATTTCGATATAAAAAATACAAAACATAAGTTATCAACGGTAATAAAGTCTTGTAAAATTCTATATACTGTTGGTAAAGGATAACCAGTTTCGGCTCTACCATGTGAAATGTTCAGTATACATTGCCTCATGAAAAATCCTTATTCAAGCTTGTTCCATATCAAGGCACGTTGACTTTATACGTTTTCTTACAATTGTTGTCGCGTCATAGCAACGGGCGTGTGACTCTCACGTGTATGGCCTTATCCAGTTCTGTGTTTCTTATTTTGGTTGTACGTAATACAATCTAAGAAGACAAATAATGTTTTCCTTCTGCCAGTTTTGTTTATAAAATGTCATCATATATCTTAAAGCTCCCATTGTGACTAAACATAAACTTATCAACCAAATAATATTTACAGATATAGACTCGCATAGAAAGTATTCCTCAAATGAGCGTTTGGTCATAGTTGCCCTAGACCTAGTAGTATATGGTATACACTTTAAAAATGCCGAAATTAGAGCCTTCTTGAAAGAAATTTTAGATTTTTAGATTCCTTTTTTAAATTATTTAGCCTTTTTTCATTTTATCAACAGTCGGCAATTAGAAATCACACACTATCCAGGATAATGTGCGATAACTTCGACTTTAATGAGGTGCAATACCCGAGTGCCTTTATGGCCGGGTAAGTAAAATTTCAATATTGAATAAACACTCAGTCGAGGGATGGAGCTAAATACACCTGTGGTCGAGGACATCGATTCCTTTTCATCTTTTTTTATAGATAATTTGATCGATTCGACCATTTAAATGAAAAATATCCTTCCGGAATTACAAAAATAAAAATAAAATAGATTTCTTGTTTTCACCAGCATTATCTTTTTTATGGAAGCCTTGGAGGGTCACTTTTGAGTTTCGACTTATAGATTTATTTTACTATTTTCTTATGACTTTTGATTTATGACTTTTGATTTATGACTTTTGATTTTTGACTTATGGATTTTGTTACTGTCCCACGTGCTTGCCTCATTATTTCCAAGGAAAATACGGCAGAATATGACAACGATTCAGACGAGGTAAGTTCATTTACCTAAGTTTCTTGGAGACTTATTTCAGAACAAAATATGTGGGTACATATGCAAGGACAGATGTTATTCTTATATAAGCCTTTTTAATTGATTAAGAAAAGAAAATATTTTGCTTGCATTGCATTGCATTAGGTATCCATTTTTTATTTTGATTTCCGGAACAGGGATATATAATCTCAAATTGACATACAGCGTATGAATCAAACGCTTTATTTTTTTTTATATAGGTTCCAGTTTTAAATCCAAATCAGTCTCGCATTGTTGTTTGCTGCAGTTTCAATCGGTTTACACCCGTAGTTCATTCTTCATCCATCTTATATTGAATATAGACCAAATTATAGGCCTTATTTTGACAAAGAAATTTGTAATTAAGAAGTTTTATGAAACATGGTATTTCAAAAACAATAAATCATACAGCTTTGAAACTTCACACACTTCAGACACTTAAGTAAGAAATCTCTGAATTGCATTGTTATCAAAGTATGCCTCTTTTTCGACTTTGAATTTGTTGTTTAGAATTTTCATGAAAAATGGTTTCGCAAAAATATTTTAGCGATTCCTTTGAAACTTAAAACACATTTTAAGTGTTGACATCTAAGGTCAATGACCAAGTTTCGTATGAGTGGCTCACAATTTGACATACTTATGCCCATTTTTAAAGCTAAAATGTTTTGTCAGAAGGTTTATGAAATATGGTCCCATAAACCAGTTATGATATAATATTGAAACTTTATTATTCACTTGTTCAATATCAATAACTTAGGACACCTACCAAGTACAAAGTACATGTTATTTGTATATAAACTTTTGAATACAGTTATGTATTAAGGGATTTTTTGTATTTCATTTTGTATATATAGGTATTTCATTTCAATTGAGATAACACATACTTTTAATGTTTTCAATTTAAATTCTAGTAAAGCTACCTGTAGGGATTAAGGACGTGCTGTCGAATGGTTTCAACTACAAAGCAGTTGCAAGAGCATCAGCAATACATATTTGTCAAGTTTTCGGAGCCAGCTTAGAAGACTAAGAGGTTTCATTGCAACACAGCGTTCGTTCCGAGTGGAAAGTAGTACAGTTTAGCAAATGCAAAATGTGCAAACACTGGTGATTTGGTTTTATTCGTTATTGTCTATGGAAATATTCAGAGATTTTCGGAATACGAGGGTTATCCTTTTCACACTTGTTTCAGACGCTCGACAACCCCACCATTTATTGTGGACGCTTATTGGAAACACACAATGTCACGTCTCGCCACGTTTATTTTATATTGTCCATATCTCCAATATGGTATAAAACTTGTATCGATAGACAGGTCATCGTGAGACAAAGAAAGGTGTGAAAAATCATGAATTCACAATTATGGCTTTCATAATTTTCAGTATTTGCCAATTGTAAATTTTAAAACTTATATGAAAGGTATCGAAATCAAACTTTGCATGTTCATATAGCTCGGCGAGGCAGTAAGAAACATACTTCTTAGCTATCATAAATTTTAGAAAAGCTTGTTTTTATTTTTTTTTTTTTCATACTTAGATTTTGTTAAGCTCATAATTATCTCAAAAACTGATGAAGGCATCAACTTGAATTTACTGGCAGATATATCTCGGCGAGACAGAGTGCATTGTATTGTTAACAAAACTTTTGATTATAAAATTAAATCGTTAAAAATTCCCTTTTTTGACATGGACATGCCGTGGGTTGGGGGTATGCTCATTACGAAAGACTATGCGATTTCCATTACATATAAAATTGGTCATACTTCGAAAAAAAAATTGTGGACGTTATTTAAAGTTAACTAGGAAATCTTTGGCGAGAGACTGTGTTTGTTTTTTCTTTCTTTTGAACATGTAGAAATGAAGAAATAACGCTCTGACAATGATTTTAAAAATCTTGACTTCAATAATAATAATAATACAAACACTCTAACGTTGCTAATTTACCTAATTTATCTTATGTTTTCAAACGCTTTGTTAAAACACTCATGATTTTCTTAGTTTTTCATCAGTAACGTATCACAATGTGTTGTTTTGTAGAAATATTGCATGCATATATGTCTTCTGTGACGTAAATACTTGAAGTTTTTGTTGATGGCAGTGTTCATTTTAAGCTGTTCCTTAGTGTTAGCTTTTAAGTAAGGCATGTGTGCTATTTTAGAAAAAATGCTAGCCTCTGTATTTCTTATCTCTCTCTTTTTTTAAATTAAATATAATGAAGCTCAACTGCAGTTTGTTTTGCATATCTAATACATTTGTTTTCTTATAAGACAACAATTTTGTTAAACACAATAAAGCACGGTTGTAGAATTAGAAATGTTTGTTGTTATCTATTTGAACGCATTTATTCCAAAAAAATATTGATAGCTCTGCCAACCTGTCACGGTCTAGACCGTGAGATAAAAAAACCTTTGGTAACGTGGTCTCTCGGTAGAGGTATATTTAGGTAGTCTGTTGAGGGAGTTTGCTGGTTCCACACAGTTTACTTCTATAGTAATTGATATTCTATTTCTACTTTGCTCATTTTAACCTCTTACATATGATTTTAATGGAACATAATCTCTACATAGACAAATAAATTCTTTATAACATTTAAATACAGTTTATTCTGATAGTAAATTGCAAGTTTATTTTGGTTATAACAAAGTTACAATAACACAATAATAAATTGTAAACAAATGAGGACAATGTATTTTTATCATTCAGGACCAGATTAAATATGCATTTTTCTACTTACAACATTGGAAAATTGATATCTCACTCGACCTTCGGTCTTGCGAGAAATCATTTTTCCACCGCTGCTCGTAGCAATGTACAAAGCCTTAAAAAGCTACTACTACATAATATTCCGTTTATGTCTTCTTTAATTTAATGTATTATAATTCCTTTACGCTTGTTCCCTCTTTAATAGTGAACACGGAAAAATAGCGTACCAGTCAACCGTGACTAAATTCAACAAAGAATTAAATAATCTATTTCAAGATGTAAAATGTTAATGAAAAATTGTAATAAAGCTACACATCTAGAAAATAGCTCAGAACTGTTTAATCTGAATAAAAAATTCTTATTTATCAATAACAGTTTATTTACTTTAATACTTAATGCTGCAGACGGCACTTATGAATGAATGTTCCGAATTAAACCTTCTATACATATGATTTTACAAAAACAATTGATGTTGATTCTTCACGTAAAAAAGATCAACTATCATATGATAAAATCATATAAATGCAATAATTCTAATGCAAAAATGAGGCTAGTGGCTAAATGTACTTGTAAACATTATATGACTCTAACACCACTCTTGGCTGATGTGCTCCCTTGCGTTTGGTGACTGTATCACAAATTTGCTTATTTTGCACTAAATTATTAAATCTAAAATCAAGTTAAACTAATGTTTATACCAAGGCAAAGAGTAACAGCAAATGACAAAAGTTATAAGTCAAAAGTCAAAAGATAAAAGTCATAAGTAAAAAGTGATAAATTATAAGTGAATAGTCACAAAGCAAAATTTAATAAAAAACGAGAAAATTTATTACAAAGATCAACTATTATTTTTGAAATAAAAATCATATATATTCCTTTTACATATAGTTACCATAATACATTCTATAAAGTATGGTTGCTATTTGTTGCGAATGAATAAGACGTTTAAATCTAATTACACATACTTGAAATTACACGTATCACTTATATGTCACGGTACGAATCTATTCAGTAGATGATGTGCACTCTCGGTCGGGACAGAACTAGCCCTGTAAGGGGTTGCGGGTTCAAATCCCGGTATGGCTGCATATCTTTCTCCCCCTGTGGCATTTGGTATAATGGAAAGTGTCCCTGCCAGTCACGCGGGAGACCGAGGTTCTATTCCTAGCCGGGCAGCCTTTTTGTTACCAGGGCTTGATATAGAACAGATACAGGTTGTGGGTTTGAAACCCATAGGAGCCAACATTTTTTTCTTCGTTTTTTCTTTTAACAGTATTTTTGTATTTTTCTAACTATATATTTTTCAATGCTTTATATATTACAAACAAGCCGGTAAAAGCCTTCCATATTTCTCAGAATGAATCAATATACTTCTAGAGAGATTTAGCAAACTTTGATACAAGCCCTTTGACAAATGTAATTTCAGTGATTTTCTAAATTTAGAATGATATGATAGAAATTGTTCAAATGGGTGGGGTAGAGAAACATGCATATTTCTATCGTGTCGAGAAAAGTCATGCATTTAACATGCATAGTTCATTACTAGAATGTTATTTTTTTGCATCTAAACAAACAACACTTGCAAAACATGTTAAATAAGAAGATATTTTTTAGACTTTCAATACATGTATTTCTTTTTAAAAGCCTTTTTGATGTATATGTTTTGACTCATAATAATGCCTACAACTACAAATCCGTACAGTAAATTTTGCATAAATTTTGCATACATGTGTCCTTTAGGTATACCACTTAACAATGTTGTCAATTTTACAATCCCTTATAGTGCAAATTAGAGTGGTAATAACTTAAATGATAATTTAAAAATATATTGTAATTTGCTCAATATTTACAAACCAATATCTTCAAACAACCATAAAATGAAGTGAAATCGTAGACCATCGTCTTTATGACTTTAAAACATCATTTTTTTAAACTTAACCTATAGTAATCTAGTATATATCAATAAAACACAAAAAAATAGCCGTTTCAAAGCGTATTTATATTAAATCTACAATCAAAATTAAATCGTTCAACTCGGTACACAGTTGTAGTGCTGAACGGCGTCCAATGGCATCTGTAGATCTGGCTTCAGAAGGGGTGCTAATTCTACGAATTCCTCACATTGTCTTTTTGGGCGTGAATACATGTTCTTTGCTAATATATACGTCTCTCAAGTTAACTGCATTGCCGAAGTCGTGAGTTTCATACAGACCTGGTACAAAAAACAGTGTATCAGGTTTACCATAAATAACAGAAGGTATGTTGCCTTATTTCATGTGCAATCCGGTCTAACTCGGTTTGTATGAGGTCCATAAAGCAAAATTTTAAGTTCTCACATTGTATCTGGTCCAGATCATTAAATGCACATGTATCGCGTAAGTCTTTGAAAAAAATTAATCCACCAATGGATTTCATTTTGTCGTAATGTACACCACCACTTCTCAATGCGTTGGTAAGATGTGCTTTTTCCAACTACAACGCTTTGAGTACCAGCAATCGGATCTGTAGAATCGTGTCTGAAGTATTCCTGCAATAGTAAAGCAATGCAGTTTTCCGTTCCAACATCACAACGTAGTATTGGGTGGGGGGACTTGGTATTGTTCATTAAAGGTGTCAAAAAGTATCTTGCAATAAGGCGTGGGTCGTTATTTGTGTCCGAAACCTCTAACCATATTATTTATCTACTATATAATTATTCACAGCAATATTATGGTTTACATTTGTCTCAACTGTCCATATGTCATATAAAACTGGTCCTTTGGCGTAGCATACGCGTCGGCATAAGCGATAAGCTTTCCGCATCTCAATATCAACTGGATCAAGCGCTCTCATTATTTCCATGACGTCGTCCCCCTTGAGGTACATGTGGTAATCCAGCATTAACCTACGTCACATTGTGCGGTATCCTATGCATTGTCCATTTGTTTGTATTTCTCTGTTTATAACATCAGACACAGTCTCAAATGGAGTATATATTCCATTACGCCGTTTTAAATTTAAGCGTTTAAAAATTCTATTCACTGTACTTGTATCTTGGCACGGTAGCTTTGGTAATGCCGAACAGTATAATGATGAAGACACAGATCAACATCAAGGTTTTCATCCTCGTTACCTTTTGTCTAGTAGTTGTGTCTGAAATAAGAGTTTATCTTTTATTTAAATCTTTATACATTCATAGTATATAAAATGGGTAAATCTTCTAGCTCCGTCTTTTAAAGATTGATAGGTGCGAAAAAAAAATAAAATAACATTTAAAATGATAGTAGGATATTTTGTTCTAACTTGTCCTATATCTATATTTGTTCTTAAATGTTTTTTTCTCAATTGTTAAAATATACAACAAAATTAGACATTGATGCTAAATGCAAATGTGCCTCGATCACAATTATAACTTTGTACTTGTGTGTATGAACATAGCACTTGCTGTTCATTATGAAATTGGTTAACACTATCTAAGTACTTCAAAGAAATACTGATTCTGTGTTAGCTTAATAAAATGCTGAATTGCGATACATGTTTAATACTGAACACCATGCCATTTTAAGACGTAAAACTTGTATTCCCTGCCAAATTGTAAAACAGTTATTTGTTTGTTACTCATGGACAGATTTTGTGATGAGAACAAAAATGTGTAAGCACTAATATAATGAACATATTTAGAACAAAGCAGATTGCACAAAAAACACAGTCACACTTGTAGATTAAAGTCTGATATATTACCACTATGGGATTATATAAAATAACATTAATTCCCTCCTTAACACATCATCTCCTCCATGACAAATCTCAATGAAATTATTTAAAACGTTTAAAAAACATACCTGAAACCAAAGTTGCTGCTTTCAGTTTCTAAAAAACGTGTAAAACGGGTTAGCCAAAAGTCATAAGACGTAAGTCACAAATCAAAAGTCACAAATCAAAAGTCAAAAGTCGAAAGTCAAAAGTAAAACATCCGTAAGTCGAAACTCAAAAGTGACACTCCAAGGCTTCCATACTTTTTTCATCGTTAAGCTTTAACTATTATACAGGTATATTTATTATAAAGAAAAAATGGACTTCACAATGATTTTTCAATGATTTTTTTTTTGGTCAGATTTAGTAACGAAATTCAGAAATTGTTATAAAATGCAAGAGTGTATTTTTTCTTTTAACAAAACTTATAAGTTGTTTTATTTACATTTTATGATATTTAATATTTGAATTTTAAAGGGACCCTGCTTCATGTCGCGGTATTCCCCAATTAAACATAGACGTTTTCAAACCAGCTACAACCGCCACGACCACCACAACTACAACCACAACTGCACCACCGGCAACAAACCGCCCAACACAGCGTCCACCCAACAATCGCCCACCCCCAGGCGGAGGAAGACGACCCGGGAGAACATTCGACGATGCTCTAGCTCAGTTGTTACGCGAATTGGAAGAAATGAACGAACAAGATTAGGGGAAATAAACGAATTAATGATTTAAAACGAAATTAGAAAAAAATCAAGCAAATGAACGACCAGATGGGAACTTTTGTACGTAACATAATTATTCCCCTTGGTGAAATAAGCTTTCCGTGATTATAGATGATTGTTTTAATAATAAAATGCGCTGTAATTGCGATATTTTAGATTTTCTGAATTTGATACATTTTTGAGGAATGATTAAGAGCTCCACTAAGGAAATTCAGTCATTGGTCCATGCTTTTTAATTACGTTTTTAGAGGTTTTTTTTATTTATCTGAATAGTTTTGATATTTTTAATGAATCTAATTTTGTAATGTGTAATGTTGGAATGGTTTTGATGATATGCTAGCAAACATGTTAATCAATGTAATTTTTTTTTTATTAAATTTTTACAGCATTTCTGCTGAAATTATGTATAACATATATGTTTATGATGTCAGAAGATGATTCTTATATCAATAATTATAATGATTATGAAGATGTTTATAATAAAGCTGCATCACTTATTCTTCCTCTCCTCTCAATATTTCTTGCTGTTGCAACCGTTGATTTTTCGTATTATTGGTGGCTATATTTCTGCCCAAAAAATAATGAAAAAAATGTTTGTACGTGAAGAAAAACATTAATTTTTGCGTGCACAGACTGCTTAAACCGACACCTATTGCCTTAAACGTATGTCAAGTGGTATTTTGTTTTACACACTAAAATGTTAAATCATTGACTTTGCACTTGATTTAATAGAATGATGCCTTAACCATATATAACCAGCCGTTTTGGAAATTGTAAATAGATTATAAAAAATAAAAATAAAATACAATAATTTTAGGACTTAATGAACCTGTAAGCTCTACATGTATATGTTTTATACGGTTCCTCATTGCTATTCAAACATTTTGTCAGATCTATACGACGCCAAATTTCTCGCAGCGGTTACTTCCCTGGATAGTACAGTAACTGCCGAAGAAAGAAGGGGAGATCACTGCGTGGAGCTTCATACGGTGCTACACTGCCGTTTTAACATTACTAATGCTGTACATTGCTTTTTAAAAAATACGCTCACTGTATACGGTGCTACATTGCATTTGACATTTTGAATAAAACATCAACTGTATACGGTGCTTGTCTTCCGTTCAAAGACTACGTGAGCTGTATACGGTGCTACACAGCTCCTCAAAAATATTTAGCTCAGACAATCGAAATTCATAATGTGGCTGACAAAACTTTTACTGGTGTACATACTTTTGACATAACGAAAAAAATAATGAAGATCTTACTGATTTAAAACATTAAAAGCTTTAAAGGTACAAACATTTTGTAAAAAAGTAGAGTAAAGAATCGAAAACAGATGAGAAATTTATTCAGTAACAATGAAGAAATACTGACAATTAACATATTTTATAAACTTTTAACATGGTAAATAAACATTCGCTTTCATTTCAGAAAAATAAATTAGGATTATATTAAGACCATATTTTGCATACTAATTCTAGCTATTTTTTTTAAAGAAAATACCGTATTTGGTTTGCATTGTTAGCATAAAATTCCTATAGTCGCCAGCAACCGAGTACATGTATATAATATATGAAATGCACAATCAACAAATAATTGATAGTATAAATAACATTAGTATAAAAATTAATAACAATATATCTAAATGTTTGTTACATTCTAAGACCACTAGTTATTTTCTAAAACTAATTCTATTGGTGCAAAATGGAATAATGATTTGTCTATTAAACAGTCTAGTACCTACACGTGGTCAATCTAATTACTAATAAGGCTCAATACGATTGGCTGCTTATAGTTAACATCACAGTCTCACCAAAGACAGCTGAAAATATCACACACAATTCCAAAATTCAGCAGTATGAAGGCGAGGTAAATGGTGACTATTTCAATTATTTCACCATAGTATGACGTTTTGCATTCGTTTTCAAAAAGTACAACATGAAAAAAATAAAAAAATAAAAAAAAAGTTTTTTCTTCAGTTTCTCAAGGGAAATTAGTCGAGTTTGGTGCCACTGGTGGTTTTCCAAACGAGTACGGGGGAGGCGGTGTGTGGCCCAAGTACGGCGGAAGGTTCGAGTCTGCGGAGGCATTCTCTGAATACACCGGCGGCGCAGTTGTATCATGAGTTGGTACACTGGCTGCACTTCTCTGTGGTTGGGTGTTGCGTTCAGGGCGTGTCTTCTTCGTTTCGTCGTTGTCGAGTTTCATTCCACTTTTTGCCGTGTAGTAGACGATAGATCTAGTGTTAGGGGAAGTTCTCTGTACTGGTGCTTAAAAAGTGATACATTACGATTAGTTGAATTAAGTTTATCTATGTCTACATGTATTTATAATCGAAATAAAACGTTCATTTAAAAAAAAAACCCAAAAAACTCAGTTGCAATTTTATCCAGCTGGGCAATGATTTAACACTATGCACCTTCCGCTGAATTAATAAGAATTTTCCAAATATTATTCTTTCAATTTATGCACGAGCATTCCTATAAGATTTTATTAAATCAATACAGAAACGTTCACCCTCAAAATTACAGGCAGTTCTTTAAACTCAACATTATGGTTTTTAAATAGTCTCAGCAGTAGTCTTTTAACTTGACCAGTTCAGAAATATTATTTCGAGATTTGCGTACCATTTGATGTAGGTCTTGACCAATACATTTCTTGTGTCCATTCGCTCAGTCTGATTTTCAGAATTATCAATATAATTGTGCAAATTGAGACAAAAAAAAAACAACCAATTATAACCCCCCCCCCCCAAAAAAAAAAGCAAGAAAAAAAAAACAACCGAAAAAACAACAAACAAAGGAAAAGTGTTAAAGATCCTGTATATGTTGTAATTAAGGTTGTTACCACGCTTTAACGCAAATTGGGTTAAGGATCGCAACTTTAAAGCTATTGAACTTTAGTTAAGATCCTTAAAATTGAGCTGCGTCATGACAAAACCAACATAATGGGTTTGCGACCAGTCTGTTCGCTATCAGTTTCTCTACTTGTTAGAGGGTTTGTAAGCGGACAGCATGGATCCTGATCAGACTGTGCGGATGCGCAGGCTGGTCTGGATCCATGCTAGTGGCAAACCCATTATGTTGGTTTTGTCATGGCGTGGCTCAAATACTTACTCTGTGCCGCATATATCTTTTCTGGAGACGTCCTTCTCAACTTAGCTTTCTTGTGTTTGTACACACCAAACACACAACAGGACAGTGCCACAATCAGCATCACAGCAGCAAATATCAGCAATCCACGGACCAGATGCGTGTTCCCTCTGAAATAAAATAATGTTTAAATATGTTCAAGTTTGTTTAAATATATTCAGGCATGTTTAGACATATTTAAGTATTTTTAAACATATCCAAGTATGTTTAAACATATTCAAGTATGTTTAAACATATTCAAGTATGATTTAAACGTGTTCAAGTTTGTTTAAACATATTTAAGTTTGTTTTAACACATTTAAGAATGTTTAGACATATTCAGGTATGTTTAAACATATTTAAGTATGTTTAATAATATTCAAGTTTGTTAAAAATATTCAGGTATATTTGAACTTATTCAGGTTTGTTGAAACATATTTAGGTATGTTTAAACTTATTTCAGCGTATGTTTAAATATATAAAAACATTTAGGTATGTTAAAACATATTCAAGCTTGTTTTAAATTTTCTTTGAACATATTCACGTTTGTTAAAATTTTCCCTC